ATCTCTGGCCAATTTCAATTCAAGCTGAGCTTTTGCTTTTCTAACTACATCTCTGCAGTTTTAGTAGTAGGAAGAGATGCTCCTCAGCAAGGATGTGGGATCACGACCTGACCAAAACAAACTGTGTTTAACATGTGATGGCTGATCCACATCATCGCTTCCCGCAGCAGCATCCCCTGGTCTCTTCCAGATAATCATTACATGCTTTTGTTAGATTTCTATATATGCTCTTTTCTGTAAATTTAAAGAGGACCTTCCCTTCCAGTAAATTACAGCTTTCTTTTGGCTTTCAAGCCAGTCTGTATCTCATGTTTTCATACAGTCTGAGTTGCTCGCGTTTGGCTTTTCCAGGACGCTGACTGCGGAGAAGGTTAAGTAGTTTAGTGGTCGAGTCGCTGGTACAAAAACAAGCCTAGAGATTTCTGATCCAGCACACACACCAAAACAACACACTATAGGGAAACAACCCAGCTGGAGCCAAGTATACGTGCTATTGCATTACACACCCCTGATGTTTATTTACAAAGCGAGCCAAGCAGGACTGCCATCCCTCCAGGTTTCCTTAAACGTGTACTTTTTGTGCCCAGAAATTGTCCTTGGATCAAGTTTTTGGTGGTGGTGGGGTTGTAAAGTGGCCATGCATGCAGGACCTGCAGACAGAAGGCTTCTCTGGCACACCTACCAAGAGGTGAAACACAGGTGGGCATGGGAAGGCTTGTCCACAGCTGCTGCGGGCTCTGAGATAACTGAGACAACAGTGGATTTTCTGTACCTGTGCTGTGGTTTTCCTCCCAGAGAGCACACCCGTCATGCCACCCAGGGGACCTCAATTGTCACCACAGAAGAAAACACCTTTCCAGTGTTACCAGACTCTACAGCTTCACACAGCTGCCCTGCACGCTGCAGTCCACAAGGCACAGCACTGCACTGAGCTGGGTCAGTGCACCCCCCAAAACCTACAGGACCATTTCTAAGTTTTGAACCAGACCAGTCCAAGGATTGTGAGCACTAGCAGGGGGAGGAAAGTGGTGGCAAAAATGCCCCAAACCCAGGAATTTCCCCCAAAAGACTGGGGAACTTGATAATCAGTACCTGGAGGTGCATATCGAAGCCTCTGCTAGCTTTTTACAGTTTCACAAAAGCCTGAATTTTTCTGCCCTCCACACCCACCTTATTAGGGAAAAAACATTTTTCTCCCCAGGAGAAGAGATGGTTTAATTCCCACTTCAACAGGGCTGTACAAGTCATAACGCAAGGCAGGTGAAAGCCCTTCACTTTATAAAATGCTTCTGTATCCTCTAAAAGCTGAAACAGGCTGAATGTTAATAACCATTTTCCAAGACCCCACCGACAGTCATTTGTACTATTTGTCTAAGTGCTCAAAGTCCCCTAGACCTATGGCTCCAGGGCAGCAGATTCCTAATTACCTAGGTGACAGCGCTGTCACTGACTCATTAACAAAGCATTGGGAGGTGACTGAGGCCACCTTACAGACTGCGATGACAAGGAGAGGTGATAATTCACCCACCATGCCCAAGTAGCCAGGGATGCCTGCGAGGCACCTGCAAGCCCACAGCCACCCGAAGTCCAGCTGCAGCATACTAAACACACACATGGCAGAGCAGCTCGCTTCATCCTCTGAGCCCTGATGCAGCCACAAGGCATAAAGCCACAAAGAGAACCATTTTCAAGACATGTACCAAAGGTTTAATGTTTTTTTTTTCTGTCATTTCTGCCCTCCCCCCCCCCCCTTTAAAGCAAAGGCATTGGGGAGTCAGCCAGGTTCCCAGTCCTCGACCTGCCCCAGTAAAATCCTGTCCTAGGCAGGAGAACTCAGGGAAGGCAGGGCAGGGCAAGGCAGGCTGGCCCTTGCTTCCTCGCTGCCCAGCAAACCCAGAGAGACACAGCCCCACTCACACCCTGCCACTGGTGCTGGTACCTGCAGCGCTGCCAGCCCCACCGCCGCGAGCACGAGGTGCTGCTTGCGTGCCGCTCCAAGAGCCTCGGCACCCCCAGCTCCTGGGCAAGGCTGGGGTTGGGGTTTGCAAAGGGGCTGGTACCAGTGCCTAGGACAAGGAGCAACTCACAGCCAGCTGCTGCCCTCCTGGAAGAGGTAAGGAGGCTTCCCCAAAGGGCATAATACCCAAAGGCTGGCTTCATCAGGTTTCCTTAACGAGGGTGCTGCTCCAAGACACCTCACTGGGAAACCTTTGCAGCTGTGTGTGCTTTGGGGGAAGGACCCGACCTGAGCTTTGCCCAGTGGGCCTGCTGTAGCAATGCCCAATTAGGGGTCACAGCTCACCCTCTCCTCAGCTGACTCGCTTGACTTATAGGGGAGCTGACCCCCTTTTCACCCAGAACCAGCTTTTTTCCAGTACTGCTGCACGCGTTGGCCCACATGCAAAAGCAATGTTAACAGGAGTGCACTTTTGCAAAACCTGAGGGGTTTCCACTGCTGCAGAAAACCCTCCGCACGTCATGTGTGAGGGCTTTTAGGCTCTAGAGGTCAGCAACAGCCTGCAATAGCAGATGTTTCTCCTCTAAGCATGACATTTACCGGAATAATCAACCACCCATAGTCACCTGGCCACATCCCCACGATTAGTATTTGCAAGGGAAGCTGGGATTTTTAGGGACAATTTCTTTCTGCTTCTGTACCCCCAGAAAGTACTCTAGTGTACATACTAGTGTTCCACTTGGGTTCACTCAGTTACAGGGTGGGATGAGGGACCCTTAAAGCACTTCAGCAACAGCCTCTATGGTCCCCCCATGAAGAAACACCTGTTAATAAATCAGTGCTGCCCTTCTGTAAAAAAAACAACGCACGGAAACAGGAAGTAAATGCATATATATTAAAGGTCTAAATTAAAGTTTTCCCAAAAGTACACATCTCCCCAGAACCAAAGACCAAAGAGCCACAGAGGTACACCTCCCAGACCTGGTAGCCACCTCTAGCCCTGTTGTAAAGCTTGCTGTGGGTGTTGAGGCACGAGGGGTGGCAGCAAGCCACCCTGTCAGCTCCCATCCCTCCAGTGCTCACCAGCCCAGTCTTCACTGCAAGTCAAAAGCAGCTCCCTGCTTTGCTCCAATACTCCAGGAAAACCCTTTCCTTGGGAAACTTGCGGTTTCTCCCTTCGGTGGCCACTTGTGCTATTTGGCAAGCGAATTTTGGAAGAGCAGAGCCAGGCACCTCAGCAGTGGTGAGGAGGGGGCTCGGGGTGAGCATCCCAAAATGCTGCGTGCCCCAGGATGTAGAACTACAGTCACTGCTCAAAAATTCTAGGTGTTTTAACAGCAGCACGGAGGCAGTACTGTTTTATAAATGTATGCCACGTATACCTGAACTAGCCAGTTTTATACCTGACCTTGCCGTTCAGGCAGGGTTCCCTGGGAGCTCAGGGAAGCAGAGGGGCAAGAGGGCAGAAGTGCCGATCCCAGCACCAGGCAGAGCTGGGCATCGTTCAACAGGCACAGCATGTTCCCAGCAAAAGGCTCCTCATTCCACTAGATGGTGCCCAGCCCTTGCTTATGGATCTTGCTTAATGGCACAGACAAGGATGCGGCCAGGACTGGGGATGGAGGTGGCTGGGCACCATGCTGGGGTCCCCATGGGGATGCAAACCGCCCCCAGTCCCAGCCCTGTCAGAGACGAGACCCCCCAAACCACTCCCTTAATTTCCCAGGCAGCAGCGTACGCTGAGCCTGAGCTCCCCGGAGCATCGCTGTGGGCCATCAGACTTGGGATGTGGCAATTCTGAGGGTGAGTTGCCCAGCCCAGGGTGCCAGCAGCCCTGTGGCCCCTTTCGCTCTGAGCTGGGTGGGCCAGCACAGGAGGTCCCTGAGCTTTTGGGGGTCTTGTGGATGATGCTGCCCCACACCTGGGAAGCTTCAGGCAAAGCCCTGCCCCAGTCTGCACAAACCTCCACGTCCCCAGGCTGCCTGGTGCAGCTCCCCTGGGGGAACCAAGGCCTGATGCTCTGGTGTGGGGTGTAGTGGGCACATGCAATTTTTGATCCTTTTGGCTGCAGAGCATGAGCCCTAGGAAGGCAGAGCCCCTACAGCTGGTGCTACTGCTAGCACCAGTGAGATACACGGCGTCCTCCTTCTCCTGGGGGTCCCCCCATCAATCACCCATGGACAACCCCTAAGAACCAAGTCTACGGCCCAAAAGAGGACCTGCCTCTCCCACTGCGCCGTTCGCTCCGGCGCACTGCTGAGCGCACCCATTTTAGCAGCTTCTCGGACAGAAAAAGCAACCTGCAATTGCATAAATAGTGATTAACTTTGGGCACCACCGGCGGCACGGCTCCAGAGCGTCGAAGCCCAGCCCGGCTCACGTGTCGGGGCCAGTGGTGGGAATGGCGGCGGCACAGCCAGGACATTATGGTGCTGCTGGAAAGGCGGTGGGGCCGGCAGGTGCCCCAGTAACGTGCTGGAAGGCGTGATGGGGATGTCTCTCTGCGGGAGATAGACGTGCCAAGGGGTGTGAGGCTCTGTGGGGCTCCCCAGCAAGGACAAACTGCCCCGGGGAGGCGGGTGGCCCTGGGCAGGAGCCGGTGGGGTTTGATGCTCCAAGAGAGGGATGTACGGGGACCAGCTGGCCAAATTGCAGACCCAGAGGTGATGGCTGGGCCAGGGTTGCTCTGGGACCTGAAAAATCCCCCTGTGCCTGGGGACCAGCCCCGCCGCAGCGCGCTGCTCGCGGCAAAGCAGCTGCCCGAAGTCCCGCTGCAAACACCAAAGCCAGCAGAGCCTTAGGTACAGAAATGCCTTTATTTCTCCATGAGGCTGGAAGTGAAACCGCGAGGAGAGAGGTTTTTTCCCTCACCGTTCACTCGCTTCGCATCAGTGCACGGGCAACGCTACCCCTACGCTGTGGAGCGCAATTGCTGTTACAGGGCTGCCTAGCACAGCAAACCCATGCATCGCTGCTGCAGCGCCGGGTGCAGCACCCTCCTCCCCCCTCCTCCCCCCCCAGAAAAAAAAAAAAAAATAACAGCAGAAATGCATGAACCGGTGATTTTCGGCTACTGGGCTGTGAAGCACCGCGTGACCCCCCCCCCCCCCCCCCCCAGCCATGTGCAGGGTGCCCCTCACCCAGGCAAGAGCAGCGCCCGCAGTGCTGGGGGAGGAACGACATGTGGGACCCCCCCCCCCCCCAACTCCACCACTGGAGCCCGCCGGGGTGGCTATCGGCAGCCCCTCCTCACGGAGCCCTCCGGCTCCAGCGGCTGTGGGGGTGCCCCGGGGCTCCCCACCCCGAGGGCTGCAGGCCCGTCTGTCGGCTGTCGCTGCGGCTGCCCCGCTCCCCCTCCGAGGACTGGCTGCTGTCGGCGCTCCCCAGGCCGGTGTAGGGGCCGCGCGGGCCACCCCCGGCCCCGCCGAGGGCGTAAAAAGCCCGCTCGCGGACGTGGAGCTCGTTGGCACGCTTCACCTCGTCCACCTGCCTGCTGCGGCCCAGCGCCGCAAAGGCCCCCGGCGCCCCGGCCCCCGGCCTCCCGTCACGGCGCCCGGGGCGGCGGGCACCCCCCGTCCCCGTCCCCGCCTCCCCAGCCTTGCCGCCTCGCCCCCGCTCCCGGCCTTTGACCGCTGCCACGCTGCCCCCGGCTCGCCCCGCCTGTGGAGTGGGGCTGCCTCCCCCATCGCCGCCGTGGCTGCCAGCCCTCGGCCGGGCCCCGCTCGACGCTTGGCTGCCGGCTTTCCCGCCCGGGGACGGCGCTTTGTCCGTCCTGAGCGTCTTGTCCGGCGCTGCTCCCCCTGGCCGGACTCTCGCCCCCACCCTGAGTCGTCCCTCCCCGCGGGGCTGAGGGGTGGCTGGCCCCACTTCCCCGCTCCCCCCTTTCCCCGCCATGCTGCCCTTGCCAGCCTTGCGGCCGCCGGCCATCCCCAGGGCAGTGGTGCAGTCCCCTTCGCTCGCCCCGGGGGTGGCCATGGTGGTGCCCACACGGATGCTGGCCCCCTCGGCCAGGACACCGGCCGTGGCCGCCTCGTCCCCCGCACGACGGGGGGTGGTGACAGCCAGGCCGCCCTGCCTCCCCTCAAACCTCTGCCCCTCACCTCTCGCCTCATCGTCACCCTCCCCATGGATGCCAGCCCCTGTGGGGACACTGATGTCACCGCCAGTGACCCTCCAGTGGCCGGGGGCCACCGGTCCTTCCCCGTCACCAATGGTGGGGGCACCACCCTCATCACCTCCTGTGGGATCGCCATCCCTAGGGCTGCTGGTGATGCTGTTCCCGTGGGTCGGGGCAGCTGTGGTGGCCGGTCCTTCAGGCTGCCTGTGAGCAAGGATGCCGTCACTGCCATCACCGCCGCGTGCTGCAGTGACGCCCAGACCGGGGGGGGGGCTGCTGGTTCCCACAGCGGGGATGCCGTCGTCCTCGCTGCCGACTCTGGCACCAGCCTGGGTGGTTCCTCGCTCCCCGACGTGGATGTTGGCCCTCCCAATGAAGATGTTGACTTCGTCGTCCTTGTCCGGAGAGATTTGGGCAAAGCTGGCGGCCCTCACGGTGCTCCCCACCTTCCCGCGGGTGACGGGGACGCTGCCCGAGTCGGGAATGTAAGCGTATTCATCTATACCTTCGGCGTCAACTCGGACGTCCTCCATCTTCTCGGTGACGGAGGCGAGAGTGGCGTCTCCCGTCCCGATGCCCTGCACGACGCCCTCCTGCCCTCGGCCGTGGACGGTGACCTCGCCGCTGCCCTCCTCCCCAGCCCCACGGGTGACGGGGGCCCTCTCCCTCTCAGCTGCCATGTCCCCCTCCACTGGAACCCCCCCCGGGGCACCACTGTCCCTGTCCTCACTCCTGACGCCGGACCTGTCCCCCGCCACCGCCTTGCCGGGATGTCCGCCCTGAGGGAGAATGGGAACACCGCCATCGACTTCAACCACCAAATCCAGGTCGCCGCTGCCCTCCGAGCTGGCTGGGGTGGGAGCTGCGGTGCCGACCCCGTCGCGCGCTCGCGTGCCAGCGCCCGGGCGAGGACTGGGAGCATCCCCGCCAGTGCCTAGGGTGCTGCGGTTTTCGGGCTTGAGGCCGGCCCCGTTCTCCACTGCATCGGTGCCACCGTTGTCACCTGGCTCTGGGGCCGCCCCGTCCTCCGTCGGCCTCCGCCTGGCATTGTCCTCACCCAGCCGGTGCCCGGGGACGGTGCTCTGGCTGTCAGCCTCTTCCTTCTGTGCAGTACACACAAGGGAGAGGTCAGGGCCATCCCCGGTGCCCGCTGGCAGCGTGGGGTGCTGTAGCCAAGCCGGGGTCCCGCCGCGCCGCCTGGCCACCTCCTTACCTTTATCTGCGTCTGGTTCCTCCGCGTTGAAAATGAGTAGACGTATTTGAAAACGTAGAAGCCATGCTTGGCGTTGCAGCCTTTCAGCAGTATCTGTCGGGGAAGAAAACAGCCAAAACCCACAATGTGACAGCAGGAGATTTCCTTGCTTTCCTTGCATCTGGCAGGCGGTACCTCCCGCCCCTCCTGGCTGCCAGCACGGGCAGGGACCTGGGCAGGATGCCTGTGATCGCCTCCTGGGCTCTGGGGGTTTGGTTTTCCCTTAGGTTCATTTCCTGCCTTTGCTTGCTTTCAGGAGCTGTGGGGTTTTGTTTTGCAAGGTCGCTCATGGCTTGAACAACCAGCCTTAGCTGATGGTCCCATCGGACACAGGTGATGGGACCAATGGCCACCGAAGCACTGGAAGGACAGCAGCTGGTTTCCAGTAGGGAGAACCAGTCGTTTTGTTCCACACTGCTCATCTGAATTTTGCTACTGATGCATTTTACACCGATGCACTTTGAAAAAAACCCCGTAGCGGCTGGGCCTGGGGCTTTTACTAACTCGCCTGTGGGTACCCCAAGCATTTGTGCTCTGGGGCTGGGCACGGGCAGAGGAGCAGCCAGTGGGGGGAAGCCCTTCCCTTGCCTGAGCACATCACGCCTTTCCCCTCCCCAGCTCTTTGTAAGGGTTGCTCAGATGCAAGGGGTCTGCCGGTCTCTTTTTCTGCAGCTCACGGGGGCTGCCCTCCAAAAGCAGCTTTTTCTCCCTGTGTCTCCGGTGCAAGGCACCCCACGGAGTCCGAATGGGGCAGGGGGGGGACACGTACCCGGTGCTGTCCCACACAGTTCCCGGCGGCTCTCCCAGGCAGCGGCGGCGGCGGCACCTGTGGGCAGTAAAACACAAGCAAGAGCCGAGGTGTCAAACACTGCCCGGCACCCAGGCAGCTGCCAACACCCGCTGCCGGCCGCCCGCCCTGCCCAGTGTGATTTAGTGTGTCGGGCAACAGTTATGCAGGACGAAAATGGCTGCTATTATATTCATCTTCGTTTGCAGTTTGTTTCAGTTATATCTGTCCAAATTTCACTAGTTACAGGTGCCGGCCCCCGTTACCCACATAGGTGAGGCGAGCATCCTCCCCGCACTTCCCTTCTCGTGGCTCCACTTGGGCTGTTCCCCAGCCAAAAGCTCTGGGCAGACCCCAGATCCGCAGAAATCAAGGGAAAGAGTCACAGGGACCCAGACCGGCCCTTGCACAGTGCCCTAACTGCTAAATTACAGGGACATGCTCGGGCGCTTCGGTGCCAATATATATATTTTTCCTGCTGGCTTCACCTCTGCGCCAGCGCCTCAAAACCACCCCAAGCCCCAGAGGTGCTATATGCAAGTACAACCCGTGTTCCCCTGCTGCTGGGAAGCTGAGGAGATACTCACGGGTGTCGAGAGGGCTGTGCTGAGCAGGCACAGACACAGGCACACGAGGGCTGTTTGCATCTTGGGCAGCTCCTGGGGGCACAAAGCGAAGCGGCACTGGAGTTTGTCTTCCTGGGACCTGTGGTCCCCAACAGTCCCAAAAGCTCCTGCTGTCCCAAAGCCCCCGTGGCAGCGGGGTTATCCAGCACCCCCGGCTTTCCCCAGCCTTTGCGGTGGCCCTCGGCGTCGCTCTGCCTGGCTGCGCTCCTCCCAGCAAAGGCGATGCTCTCGCCATGTGCGTGGCCAGCAGCACCAAGCAGACACTCTGACACCGGGTGTTAAAGCTTAACTCACTTTGTCAGAGCATCGTGGGTGGATATTTGAAATAAATTACCAGCAAAAACGCTGCAGGCTAAGCCATAAAGTCATAAGTCTGAATTAAAAAACTCGCACACTGTTTTCAACAGCGCCGATGAACATCAGGAGACAACAGCTCTGTTGGCTAATAGTTCCCATTTCACCCATCCACCCTGGCTTGGGCTCGCAGGTCCTGCCTGGAGACTATTTTCAGCCATGTAAGCATTGCTACAGAAAACATCGGAACAAATTTCATGCACGAGGCTCGGCCGTCTAAAGCAACATAGGCTCAAGGAGCATGACGCCGAGATGCGCACAGTCAAAGCTCGGGCCACCTCCCCGTCCCCACCACAGCTTGCCCAGAGTGAATGCTGGAGGCGCTTTGATCAGGGGCGGCAGAGCCAGAGGGCTGGGAAAAGACAGGGCAAGGCAAGCTAGGTAAGAAGATTACCTTTCGCCGTCGGAGGCAGGTCCCAGCAGCAGACCTTGGAGGCTGTGCCCACTTTGCTGAAATTTAAAGTTGGCCCCGGGCGCGTGGAGCCAATCAGCTCCTGCCCAGGGACATTTGTCAGGGCTGGCAGTGCCCACAGATAACCAGGGGGAGTAATTTCCAGCTAAAAATGTGTTTGTGGTGGAAGACAGCTATCAAATGTTCCACCTGGCTGGATAAACAGAAAGCATGGTTTATAAATATCTGTTCTGAAGGCAAAATTGCTCGATGATTAGTGCAGATCTTAGTGTGGCACGCATCCAGCCCGGTTATTGATAAGAGGGGGGTGCAGCGGGTCGTAGCGTGCTCACCGTGATGGACGTGGGAAAGCTGGCAGGGCTGGAGAAAGGGAAGGGCGATGACACTGAGCCTTGGCCCGGTTTGCGGCCGTAACCGGCACCGCAGGGCAGTGCTGGACAAGCTGAGAGCTGCCGCCATGCCGCAGCCTCTGACACTTGCTTTTTGGGTTTCAACGTCCCCGAGCTAAGCCTGGTGCAAGCGCAAACAGGAAGAGCGCTAAAAAAGAAAGCAAAAAAAAAAAAAAAAAAAAGGATTTTTTTTCATGCGCTGTTTGCACAGGTCCCTTCAATCCCACCTTTGCTGTGGGAAGGTGCTACAAGGATAAGCGCGACATAGGTACTCTCCTCCTGCCCCCTCTCTAGCTTCCGTGGTATTTCTGGTTGCTTACACATATGCCAAGGGGGGGTGTCCCCCCCGCTGCAGCCAGCCCGGTGCTGCCGCTCACTGCGGTGATGGTGACAACAGCTCCCGTCCCACCTGCCACCCTGCCCCGACCCAAACCCTGGGAGGGGACGCGGCTGCCACATGAACGCCAGAAGCGCTTAAACCACCGGCGTGCGGCCTCCGGCGAGAGGAAATCTCAGAGCCAGGAGGAAACTTGCCCTTTCCCCCTGGCGAGGGAGCCGTGGTTGGATGCTGTCCCGCGGGGAGTGGAGCAGCCAGCCAGTGTGCCTTGGATCAGGGAGACGGAGCTTTTGGCCGAGTTCCCCGGGGGGCTGACGCACACGGGGCTGGGCTGCGCACCCCGTGGGAGCAGGACCTGGCCCCGGCACTGCCAGGCCCCTTTTGTCCATGCTGGTTCCTTGACGTCTTTGGGCACCCCCTGGGGATGTGGATGATGGGGCTCCCATGTCCCGTCCCCCCCGCCTCGCCCCGACTGCCGCGAGCACGTGCAGGGCTCCCCGGTGCTGCCGCTGGGCTTTGGGCCCCGGGGGTGCCCACCCCAGCCGCCGCAGCCTGGCTTTGGCACGCGGAGGCGGTTTTGTACAGCGGCCAGCAGCTCGCTGCTGCGAGAATAGAAACTCGTTTTGCAGTTGGACCTGTATCAGGAGCTGAACACCCGTTTCCTTTCCGGGAGTGCGAGGGCAGCACGGTACCTGCCGTCACCCGTGCGTGAGGCTCATTGCTTTTCCTACGTGGGGGCACTTGCCTGGAACCCAGCAGGATTTGGTACCTTCCCCATCGCTGGTACTGATCCCCACTTGGCTGGGGCCACGCTCCCGTGGGGAGGTGACTCAGGGCAGGGATCCTGGCGACTGCAAACCGGTCATCCCCGTCCCTGACGCAGGAGGCAAGTGGGTGCACTGCTGTCACTTGACAGCCCTGCCTTGCCCTGAGGACGAGGCTGTGTGGTGGGGACAGACGTGGACCATTTGGGGCTGCAGCACTGGTGTCCAAAACCCATGTCTGAGGTGCCTGGCCTCGGCGGGACCCGTGTGCCTGGCGCAGGGATGCAGAAGCAAAGCTCTCATTACAAGGGTGTGCATCTAGAGCAGCTAGTGATGCACAGAAAGAGAAATTAATGTTTTTATTAATATTGCCTGGTGTGTCATGGAAGGCACGCTACCAAGGAGTGGAAGGCGTGATAAAGTTATCATCACCCACATATTAAAAATTCATGTCAACTTGACGTAAGATGTAGCAGTAACGCCACTGCAGTGACCCTAAAAATGCCCTTCCATTTTTCAGAGGGGAGTCTACAGAGGCTTTCCTAGTTAGCCTTTGTGTTCCTGCCTCCTTTCGGGTGCATCTGAGATGGAATAGAGATTTAACCCTGAGCGGCATGAGCACCTGCAGCCCCTCAGCCCACCAAGTGCTATGCCACCCCCTGACCCCGGCAAACCGTTCGCCACCACCAACGGTTCGTCAGTTCAGTTGCTTTATTTCATTTCGCTTTGCGAGGTACCAAAAAAAAAAAAAAAAAAAAAAAAAAAGCCTGCGACAGAGCTGGCATGCACCACAAGCCACCCGGCATCCCCTCTGGTGTGCAGTGGCTGCAGTGATCCCTCGGATGCACGTTCCTGAGTGGGATGGGGCAGGCGGGGGCAGCACCGGGGCTGCCCCCCCCCCACCTCACTGGCTGTAGTAGTAATCCTGGCCGTACACGTCGTAGCCATGCCCCTTGTAGTAGCCGTACTCGTCCTCATAAGCCCGGTAGCTGTCCCCACGGGTGTACTCATCCTGCTCCCCGTAGCTGCCGTCGGTGGTGCCCTCGTCCCCCCGGCCGTGGCCCCCGGCCGTCACCTCGTACTCCCATTGCTCCCCGGCTGTGGTGGCATCCGTGGGTCCACCATCTCCCGTGGTGGTTGCCTGGGACAGTCCCTCTTCACCAGTGGTGCTGGCGATGGTGGTGGCTTCGGTTTCCTCCTCCTCTTCTTCTTCTTCTTCTTCCTCTTCTTCTTCTTCTTCTTCTTCCTCCTCCTCTTCCTCCTCCTCTGCCACCACGGTGCCATTGCCATGAGGTCCGTCTGCCCCCTCGGTGGTATTGGTGCTTGTGCCGTTGACACCGTTCTCATTCTCAGCTATCTCTTCCTCCTCCTCCTCCTCCTCCTCCTCATTGCTCTCTTCATTTTCGGAGTCACCCCCCTTGCCAGCAGCGCCGTTCCTGCCCCCCTTCAGAGGCCCTTGGCAGCCCTTGCCCTGGCAAGGGGGACAAGAGAACAGCATTAGTTGGGTGTCGGGAGGTTGCAGCTTTTTGGTGCTGCGTGGCATGGGGCAGGTGTGGGCACAGCCGAGCAGCCCCCCTGCACCTCGCACGGCAAGGCTGCCTTTTCGGGGTGCCCCTTCCGAGCCTCCCGCAGGGTTAATGCCCAGAGCTTGGCCCAGCCGTGGGCACCTTGCACAGCAAAGCCCCCAGCAGAAGCGGGGTGCAGGCAATCCCACGGGTGCAAGCGAGCGTGCGGTGAACACACCCTCCCCGTGGCTGCTCCCCTCCAGCCCCACACCCCCCCCCCCCCCGGCTGGGGGGGATGTGACATCTCCTCCCAGCCCGCCCGGGCTGTCCCCAGGGGCTGCTCCGGCGGGGTGGCCAGCCACCTCAGTGCCAGCACGGGGTGGCTCCTGCGGGGACAGGGAGAGGACGGGGGGCGGGGGCAGGTTTGTCAGCAGCGGGAGCGAGGCGCAGCCCTCCCAGCAGCGAGGGGGGCACGCAGCATCCCCACGCGGCGTCTGGGCACCGCTCCGAGTTTCCTGCTTTCCCACGGATCTCACCCCAGGCTGAAATCGCCAAGCGGCAGCAGGGCAGCCTGAGCCATGCAATTACGTGGCGGTGGCTGGAGTTGGGTGTTCCCGTTTTGGCTACGCCTTTTGCTTTACGAAGCGTCTAAAGGTTTGCTTTTGAAGTTACCTCTCCCGGTTTCCAGTCAACAAAGCAAGCCGCAGGCGCACTACGTGCGGACACAGCGCACACCACGTGTAGATAGCTGGCAAGAGTGTGGCGGCTCAAAGCCACGTGTGAGCCTGAACCCCCACCATCAATAAGCCACCAGCATCCCTTGGCCGGGGAGACCACGCAGCAGAGCGGGTCTCAGCGGGGTGCATGGCAGTCCACGCCGCTAAAAAAGGCAATAAATGACCCAAATGCAAGCAGAGGCTGGAGGAACCACGGGGGAACTGGTGAGGAAGCTCACCCTGCACCCAGCCTGGGAGGAGGAGCACCTTGCCACCCGCAAATGAACCCAGCTGTGGCGGGGAGATGCAGGGTCGCTGCCATCCCTGCTCTGGGCAATCCCTGCTGCTCGCGTGCCAAGACCAAGGAAGCTCACCCGGGTGTTTCGGGCCAGCTCAGACACTTAAAATATGGGTGCATCTGATGCCAGAGAAAACCCAGGGTGTTTTCCTCTCTGCTGGAGGAGCCACCAGATTGCATGGTGCAGCCGGCTGTGCTGACGGGAGCGGTGCCCCCCATCTAGCAGCTGATGTAAGGGTGCTCCTTACGTACCTATCGCTAACCTCGGGGCCTTTCATCATGATTTATCTTGCTGACCACCCGCTGCCAGTGAAGGCACACAGCATCCCTGCCCGGGAACAGCCAGCGCTCTGGTGCCCTTGGAACGAAAGGGGCAGCCGTGAACAGCAGCTGCATTCCTGCATATCACTTAATTTCTTCCTTGGGAATGAAATTCCCCCTTTGGCTGTCTCATCCCACTACTCGAAGTTATCCCTACTGATTGCAGTGGTAGGAGAGAGCAACAGGCAGAAATAGCAGGGACGCTGGCAGAGGCATCTGGGGGACAGGGGCCACCTCGTGCTGCACCCCAGCTCCAGGCGGGATTCCAAAGGTGGCTTTAAGACCAGATGCCCAGGTTTACACTTCTGTTAAAAAGACCCCTGAAATTAGCATTCAAATAATTACATTAAAAAAAAAAAAAAAAAAAAAGTGATAAGACCTGACACATAGGTTTCCAAGCATGCCTGTCTCAAAGCACCAGTGTGCCTGAGACCACTGGATTATTTTTGAGCATTTGCAGCCCAGTGAGGCACAAATGACCTTTGTAATCCCTGGCACTTAATTTTGGGCCTGGGTAATTCTCACAAACGCAGCGGTCTCTGAGCTCATATTGACAGGAGCAGCGTTACCAGCTGGGCTGGTACAAACTTGCATTTCCCAGTATAGCCTCAGTTTGTGTCCTTCCACATGCACACGTGCAGAGCATACCTGTACTTTCCATAGCAATTTCATCAGCACTATGGGGACAACGCACGCTGGAAGGGGAAGGTAAGAAGAGCCCCTAAAAATGTGTTTTGCCTTGTGGGTGAGCCTCCCTGCTTCTGCTCTTTGACCTGCCCTCCTCCTTTCTGAGTCACTGAAAATGGAAACCTGGAAAGTTTGTCTCAGGGTTATTTGGTGCATTGCCTGCCCATCGTCTTTAAAAAAAAAGAAGAAAAAAATATACAAAAAATAATAAAATAAATCCCAGAGTAGAAAATCCAGTCGCATCCGGAGTGCGAGGCTGTGGGCGGTCAGCAGCCACAAAAACTGATGAGCAGAGACTACAAAACCAAAGAAAGTTCCCAAATTCCTGTATTTGTTTTGCAGGGCGCTGGTTTCCCGTACTCACCCCGCCTTCCTCCTCCGAGCCGTCCCCCTCTTCCTCCGAAGACTCACTGCCCTAAAGAGAGGGAAAACCGAGCTGTGGCTGGTCCAGCGGGTCTCCATTGGTGTCACAAGTGCAATGGTCTCAGCCCAGCCCTGCAGGCCAGTGGCAGGTGGGGCACAGACCCATGTGCCCCATCTCATTTGGGCCGAAATCTCTGCATTTGGTGAGCGGTGAAGCATCAGCAAGCCCTCCGAAGCACCCACCTGGTACCGTCGCTGCGGGGGATGCAGGTAGGCGTATCTGTACAGGTAATATCGGTGCCTGTTCTTGAACACCTACCAGGAGAAGAACGGGGTAAATCCCGTCGGTTTGGAGGCTTGGGTACAGGAGTGACCTAAACATCCTTGTCCTCAAGACCAGCGCCGCATGGGGCTGGGCACACAGGTTAGGGAAGGGGGGGAGACCCTACCGCATTTTCTTCTGAATCGTCTGCCTTGGCTCGCCGCAGCCAGCTCTTGACCTGGGGGAAAGGTTGGGTTGGCACACACCCCACACCCAGCCCCGGCAAGGCTGGGGGGTCCCCCCCGCTGCCCGGCACTCACCGAGAAGGCGCACGCCATCCCCACCAGGCACACAAAGACCAGGGCAGTCCTCATGGCTGCTTTCTCTAGGAACAGCGAGACGTGGCGAGGGCTTGCTTTTCAGCTAGAAAGCACCGTCACTACCCCAAACCGTACAGGCGTTTGTGTCCACATGGGTAAGCGGGGACAAGAAAGGCTGACCCCCAGCCACCTTTCAATAGGGTCACCTAACCCCTCTGGAAACCCAGATCCTTCTTTTTTTTTTTTTCTTGATAGACCTGCCTCAATTTCCATTAATATATTTTTGTTTTACAAGAAGCCACAAAATATCAGAAGACCAGGTCTCACCCGGTAGCGGGTGCATTGCTTTCCCCAAGCACGACTAATCGCTCCTGCTTCCCCAGTGCCTGCAAACGACTCGGGGAAAACCAACCCCTGCCAGTCATGCAACGGGAGCAGGCAGGGGGAGCATTGCCCACCACGGCCACCCCCCCTTCCCACCCCAGCCCCGCAACCTGCTCGGGATTACACAACGCCCCGCAAGGCCCCCGGGGATTACACCGCACAGATTTTAACCTCGTCAGGGAAAAATAAATAAGAAAACAAATATATGAATATGATCAGCTTCTACAGTCTGCCACAGACAAAAATAGCAGTGACAAGGCACCAATACAAGGAACCCCCCATCAGCATATCCAGGGGGGAGGCTTGGCTCTGGGCAGGTCCCAGCTGCACCCCCTAAGCACCAAAACCCAACCTGCCCTCCTCCATCCCAGACCCATCAAGGAGCACGCCTGAACCCTCCCCACAGCGCTCTGGCATCCCCCCAGCCCAGTCAGGCCCACTAATCTTCCTTTTTCGTACCCTTCATCCAGCTAAACCCACCATCAGCTGTGCTGGGGTTTGAGCGGAGTTGTTATTACGTTTATCTGCACTTGAAGTTTCCCCATCTTCGTTTAACTCAGGTTAAAAAACAGCCTGCCACAAGCTAGCTTCCCTGGCCATGCAGCGAGGCTCGGGATGCTCATCCTCTCCACCCGAGCGCTTCATGGAGCCACAGACCCAGGGAAGAGCTAAAAGCAGGACCCAGCCCCACCAGCAAGCTGAGCCCTGCCATCCCCCTGCAAAAAGCAGCTGGCAACGCGCAGCCCAGCTGGGAAAAGCAGCCGCAAGCTTACCCTGCCACAGCACCGTCGGCTACCTGAGGAGTCAGCCGGCACAGATTTCCTCCTGCTGCTGCCTCGCCAGGATATAAGGTCTATTTTTGCCCCCCCCTCCCCTCCCCGAGCCAGTCGCCGCCCTGCCCGGAGTGACGCCAGCCCGCCAGCGTGCGCCAGAAAACCCCCAAACTTCAACGCTGGCAGATTTGGTGCACAAACTTAGCACCCCGCACCACTGCCAAACCCAGGAAGGTTTGCACCACGCCGCTTAATTGAGGGTCTGGCTTCAGAGGAACGGCCAGGAGGCCGAAGGGTATAATAACACTCTGGATTTAAATTAAAATAAATATTGGGAAATCTGTTCTTGGGGGGTGTCTACCTCCCTTTTTGGGAAATTCTGTCACTGTTTTCTTAAGAGGACAAAAAAGACCAACCTCAGAGGCCTGGCTCCACTGTCACTTGGGCATAACTGTTAGACAAAAAAAGGCTAGATTCAAACAAGTCCCTCTCCAGGCTGCCTGCAGAGGTGAAACGGGCCTTGGCAAGGGCAGGGAAAGAAAAGGGGACTCGGAAACACGTGTCATCAGTCCCCCTTTGAGAGACATTTCTGCCACGGTGATGCTGCAAAATGCACATCTGCTTCATTTCTCATGCCCTGCGACCCACACAGACCCACGCAGGGGCCAGCCCAGTCCCCTGCTCTCTAAAACCAGCTATTCCCCAGCTGAAACTGGTGCCTCTGTACATGTCCCCGGCAAAGCAGAATAACTGCCTGGGGAAAGAAAAATGCAAAAGAGCCCCCCTCAAGGCCACCCAAAGCTCGGCGGGGACCTTAGTGGCAGGACAGGGCCAGTGGCTGGAGCCCACCCCCAGTGGCAGGGGATGGGGGTGCAGGGACATCCTTTCTCCCTTCTTTTTATTTATCATTTCCTGCTGGGATTTCAGCCACCCAGCTCTCCAGTGCACCTCCGTTCCCTCTTTCCCAGATTTTTCTGGCACTCATCACGAAGTCCCCTTGCTGCTCCTACAGGCGCCCGGGCCGCAGCAGCTCAAGGGGAATGACTCCTCGCCGAATGCAGCTTTGCTTTCCCCAGTGACAGAGAGAATCGCAAATCCCACTCCATGCCTGCAGCCCTGCAGCCCTCAGAGAGGGAACGGCAGGGCTGGAAAATTAGCGCCTTCGAGCAGGTCGATGATGCACAGGTTAGCCAGTGTGATAAAACTACCATTATTTAGGGCAGAAAATTTTGCTTTGGGGTGAAAGACCTAAATGCTCATGTTTCTGCTCAAAAACGGGGGCTGCGCTTGCCAAAAGCCTCACCCACATCCAGTCTGAGTCTGAATTTGACTGGGAAGCAAAGGATTTCCAGTTAACCAACTTCCCAGGTCAGGACCAGAAAGATAAAGCTTTTTTCGCTGTTATTTTGCCTTCTTGCTTATCACCGCATCAACAGGTGCCTCGTGGGGAGTTGCTAACTGCTGACTAAACACCGTGCACGTCGCACGTTTTTGGGGAGGGAGAGGTCCCTTGCAGCCCCCCCCCCTCCCCCTCAGGGGTCTGGCAGCCCTGGCAGCAAGGTGGGCCATGTGCCCGCCGGGCAAACCCGGGGGGGGGGCTGCGAGGAGTAGCTGTGCCTGCCCCGTGGGCTTCAAAGCTCCGTTGTGTCACTGTGAGGAGCCATAATTACAAGGGAGGCCTGGAGCTGGCGCCTCGGGCCAGGAAACCCCCCCCCCCCCCCCCACACACACACAAGAGAAAAAAAAAAAACAAAAAAACAACCAAACAAAAAAAAGCATCCATGCAGTTTTCTGATGCCAACACAGCAGCCTCCGGTAAAGGCACCCGCATTGTTAGGGAGACCCCCGTGGGGCTGGGGCAGCTGGAGGGGCTGCCCTGCTTGGGGGGTGATGTGGGGGGCACAGGACAGAGAGGGCCCTGTTTGCCCCTGCCCCACACCGTCACGGGCTGCCCTGTGCTGGGGAGCAGGGAGCACGTGCCCAGCTTCAAGCTTAAATTTCATCAGGGCTGGGGAGCAGAGAGAGCTGGTGGGAGGCGATTCTTAATGTAATTAAAGGGCTGCTGCTCCAGGCTGCTTAAAAAAAGAAAACTGACTATAAAAATGCATATTTCACCCAAGATCCCTAAAAAGCACCAGGATAATTAACGTGTGCCGAAGTGCCTCGCGTGGCCAGTGCCTATGTTTAGCTCTTGGGCCGGGGAGCGGGTGCTGCCCCGGGCAGGCCGGGACAGCAGCAACCTCACAGACCATGCAGGGAGAACAGCAGGGAAGTCAGCCAAACACACCCAGAACGTTTCCATTTAAAATAATAATAAAAAATAAATTTTAAAAAGGATCACATCTCAGGGTTGGAGCACCGGTCTCTTAATGCTTGTGCAAGAACCACCAGCTCTCCAAGGCAGCAGGGCTTGAAGAGGTGACCCATTTGCCCAAAAGCAGCATTTGGTATCTGTTATTGAAAGTAATCAAAGGAAAATAATCCTGCCTTTGTAGACAAACAGCTGGAAACAAAACACTGCGTCCAGGGGATGTGCCAGCAGGTGACATCCCAAAACCCCGTTTTTAAGAAGAGCATTGAGACTATTAGGCAGGCGTGCAGTGTGCAGCCCCTGTGTACAAATGCAACGGTTTCCCTCCTGCACTCCCATCAGTTTTTTAACATGTGCAAGTACACTGCCGTGTTGCTCATTACACACTTTGCTGAGCGAGCTGGGGGTTAGGCAGGCGCAGCAGACGATGCTGAACCTGCCCCCCCCCCGGCAGCTGCAGCTGTGCCCAAGCCCAGCCGTGGGTCCCGTGAGCCCACGACACTGGTGGAATTTGCACCAGCCACCAGCACCAGGGCACTGCGTAGTTTTGATGTAGTTGCCTGAGCCCACGGAGACCTCACGGTCAGCGCGTCCCTGTCTGGCACAGGCTGACATGGCTGCAATGTCCAAATTTAATTACTATTTTTGCAGGGCGGTAGATGAGCAGAGCAGCTTGCTCCCATCCTGCCTGGGTCCACCATGGGGCTGAGGCTGTGGTTGGGGCTGCACTGTCCTATTTCCACGCCCTGGAGCTATTCTGGAAGGAAACCTCAGGGCTGAAAATAAGTAAAGAAAACAAAACCAGAAGGACACTTTGAGAACGGTGCGGAGAGGCGGAGGGAAAGGGGCACCCCTGCCATGTAGCACAGTGGCCAGGGCACCTGCGTGGGGGGCACTGGAGGCAGAGTGTGCCCTGGCTCCCACCTCTCCCCACGTGCTGTCAGGGACAGGAGCACGTGTGCCACGGCCACGGACTGGGGAGCACAGCGAAGAGCAAGGAGAGGGTGCACCAGCATAAGAATAAGAGATCCCCCTTACCTCCCCTGGCACAAACCCAAATGCAAACCAACATCAGCTGGGCACGTGGCTGGTTATTTTGCTGCAAGCAGTCAATTTTATAATAAAGTGGGAGGGGAGAACACCTAAAATGCACCAGGTATCAACCTCAGTTATTACAACGCAACCTTTACACATTGGCCCTCTGCAACTAAACGTTCCATATGATTTTCCTTTTTCTCTGAGGCAGGAAACCTGACAAAGGAAATTCATTCCATTTGCACGCCTGGCAAAATGCGGGCCACAAGCAGGTCCCGTAACACGAGCATGTTGGGGCAGCCTGAACTCTGGGGAACACTGAGATGAGGTCACAGCACTATCACAAGTCCCAGCACTCACCACCACCCAGGTCCTCACGTGTTTGAGTAATATCTGTATATCATATTTCCTCTGGGATTTTGCTTGGTTTTGTTTGTTTGTTTGTTTTTTGTTTTGTTTGTTCAGGGTTTTTGTTTGGTTGGTTTGTTGTTTTTTTTTTGTTGTTGTTGTTGTTGTTTGGTTTTTTTTGTTTGTTTGTTTGTTTTGTTGTTGTTGTTGTTGTTGTTGTTTTGATTTGTTGTTTTTTTTTTTTTTCCAGCAGGAAGAACCTGTGCACCAGATAGAATAAGTTACCAGGACTGGTCCCACCACTGGTCCGCTGCCTCCATCCATGTGTGAGAGCCCTCAAACATAGCCACACTGCAGGAACGGGAGGAAAAAGCCAAACAACCGCCCCAGAAGGCCCCATTTTCAGCAGGAGAGCCAGCACAGAGCCTGGGTTCATTGCAGAAGTACCCACCAACAACCTGCACCCCCAGCTCGGGAACTGAGCTCTCTGCCAAAGTCAAAAATGGAGTGTCCCTGGTCAGTCAGACACCTGGATGGCGTGGAGGCAGGCTGCTCCCCGTGCCGTGCCATACCAGCAGCGGCTGCCTGCCTCCTCGCCCCAGCACGCCCTGTGAAAAACCCTGCATTTGGGCTTAAAAGGTTGCCGTTTGCAGCAGAGGCAGAGCGCGCTGCGTGTGTCAGCAGGAAGCTGCTGCGCTTGCACTGCTTGTTTTTTACTGTGTATGTACATGACTTGAACAACACTCCTTCTATATGTATCCATATACATACAGACAAGAGCGTGTCTGTTGCGGTAAGTACCTTACCACTCAGGCACTCATTTGGTTTCTGAAAAAGAAGGCTTTGAAAGTTTTCATGCCATAATGAACCTACTTTTTGCTCTGCAGGTGAAACACCGTTGGGTCTGGGACAAGAGAGGGCAGGTGCTGCCTCCGCTCCCCAGTTGCAGGTTCAGCTCCTGTTTTCAGAAACCTGATGCCTTCTGCTAAAAGAAAAGAAAAGAAAAGACCGGCTCTTTGCAGGTTTGTATTGCAGGGTGTGAAAACAGCAAAACCTGAACTACAAACCACTTGCTCACTCTGCAGCCTTAAGGCCTCCATAGCGAGTCGAGGCAGGGTTCGGTGGATGCTAACGCTTGTACTTTATGTGCCACCCTGTCATGCCCAGCTCCTTGGAGCAGCACTGAGGGGACCCCAAAACTCCCATCACATGACTGAGCCGTGGCGGGGGGCGGGGTGGGCAGGGAAGTTATTTGTCATCAAAATGCATGGCAGTAAAGAGAGTTGGAAGAAAAATTTCCTTAGAGCATTTGAAAAGTCTGTAATATTTTGGGGTTTCGCTGAGGTCAGAGGCTGTTTTCCC